TAACACGCACACACACACACCAGTACACTCGCACACCCGCACACCCGTACTGCGAAAAAAGGGAGACAACACGGACATATGTAGGACCTCCCCACATACACATGTCGGCATCTGTTCGTGTGTGTTTGTGTATTGAACAAATAAATTTGAAATGTTGACAACATTTTGCTGTTTGTTCATAAACGAGGCCATCGTCACCTGTGGGAGTGCACGTGCCACCACCACGGGATACTCTCCACTCCGCATGAGCCATCTGAGCCACCCGGAACCACCCGGAACCACCCAGATCCCAGACCCACCTGAATCGCATCCACGGACCAGCCGTGGGGCAATAAAACTTGACGCCACCGACATCAGCAGCTACTTTGCCCCCAGGGAGCTGCAGACGCATAAAAAAGCAAAACTTTCGTATTACTGCCACATGACCATATAGCCATATAGCCATATATAGATATACAGATATACAGATATAGCCATGTACATACGAGTACAGACGAAACTCCCCCCTGGCACGCACTCCCCACAGCACTTACATTCCAAACCCATAAACTGTCATGTAAAATCCCGGAAACTTTCATTTGCAATTTGCTTAAAGTTTATGCAATAGATGCGCCACAATAAAAAGTTCGCTAAGGTGTATGGACCATAATAAACCCGGAGTCGCAAACGAAGCGGAAAACTCCCTTGTTACGACCATTGAGGAAAAACTCCAATAAACTCTGCAAATATAAAGTATACCATTTTCAAGAGAAATAAAATAATGCCATTTGAATATGTACTCCATATACTTTTTACCACTTCATATAGAAACAAATAAATAAATAAGAAAGAAAAACTAAGCGAACTATATGTAACATTTTAAAGTTGTAAGGGAATTTGTTTGTTTTGAAAAGGACATATTTACATAACCAAAATTGATGTAAATATTTTATATTTTTTCTCCCTACTGACGAATATTTATTTATGTACTTTTTATATTTAACAACTAATTGGCTATTTACCCACATCAATAGTTATCGACGTGTAAATAGCTTTTTTCCTACTAAAAATTCCCAATCTCACATTACTTAAATCGATTTTTACCTACAGGATTGTAAAGCATGCGTGAAAAAAAACCATTTCCAGTTAATTCAAGTGAAGAAAGCTTTATGGCGAGTATAAAATAAGGAATGCCTGCTTCCAATCAATTTCAAAGTCATTGGTTACAAATTTTAAGTGCAGGCCCAATGTTAATCAAAATTAAATCCCATAAAAAGCACAACGACAAACTTCTTATCGCCTCGCGCCATGTACACGGTTAAAAACAGGAAGTGCCGTTCGCTGGAGTAAATGGGAAAAGCAAGAAAAGCAAGAAAAGCGAGAAAATGAAGTGTGGTGGGTGGTAAATCAGCAATGAGCAGAAGGTAATGTGCCTTCATAATTCAACGTCACAACGGCATCGTCATCATTTTTCTGCGGCCAACGCAACGGCGATGACATCAACAGTTCTGCATAAATTTGCACCCGATAAAAATTTCAAATGTTTTCATCAAATCATTTTCGGTGAGCAGCAGCATAAAACCCAGGGAATTTTCGGGGGGCGGTGGAGTGGGAGGTGGATATGGGGCTTGGGGCTCTGAGATCTGGGGTCTAGGCAAAGCGAGTCGAGACGAGTCGAGTCGTCATCCATCATTAATGGAGCGCACGAGGGCCGAAGGAGTTGAAACGGCAACTAAGCGCCACGGGCTACTGCGGAAAATGCGGAAAATTCGGGGTGCGGAAAGCGGGTCTGCAGCTGAGAAACGTTGACGATGACATTACTTTTTAATGACTTTGACTTTCTGCAGCAATTGGTGTGCGTCTGGCACTCCGATACCCACACCCGCACACTCGCACACACACACACACCGCCTTTGTTTCGTTTTATGAGCCTCATTGAAGACTGGGCGTTCGCTCGGATTTTACTCTCGTTTTTTATTTTTATTGTTCCGCTTTAAATTTGCTCCTCTTTTGTTGGGCTCTGATTTCCTTTTTTTTTTGCTGGCAAAAGCACATATTTAGCAAATTATATTGAGAGAAAAATAATAAATGTCGCAGTACACAATGTATGCGTGTAAAAAGTCCTTTAGAAATCTCACAAATGAAAAGTGTATACATATTAAGTACTGGGTATATAACTTATTTCGCTTTTGTATTCTCAAAAAAATATAGATTATGCGGAATTCCATATATAACACTGGGCTGTCGCCATTAAACACCATTTCACCTTTTTTTGTGCTCCAAACATTTTAAATAGCATTTATTTCCCCACCAACCTTTATGGTTCTTTTCATAAAAGATATTTTCATTGGAAAACTTTTTTAAAACGCGACATGAAAACGGCTATTTCGTAACCGAGGCTTTCCATCGCAATTAAAGTGCATTGGGGAGCGCTTAAATGTGTTGGCCAGTTTTTGTGGGAGTTTTTGTGTTCGTGTTGGGCCACGCCTTCTTTTTTACAGCCTACTTTCTGGCCAAAAGACGGTCGCTTTTCGGAGTCGCCGGCCGAAACCGCCGTCGGCTGACGGCTGCCAATATTCATATAATATTTTCACTGTGAAATATTTTCTGCTCATAAAAGAAAATTGACTGCGAAAATTGTTTTTACCGAGGCGCTCAACAGCCCAACTACCCCCGCCTCCTCCCCCGCCCCCTTTGGTGTTTCCCAGTTGGGCTCCAGTTTTGTGGGCGGTCGCGAATGGGGGCGTGCTTTGTTTACTTTTTGCGTGTGCATTTTTACGTTTTTATGCGTTATTTTGCATGCATCAGCGCGTTATTAAATTCCGCGCTCCACAAGGAGCCAGCATCCGCATCCGCAGCCGCATCCATCCTGCTTCTTCGCCGCTTTCCGGGAGTCTCATTTAACCGCAAGCTCCTTGCCATAAAAGCCAAAAAATAACACAAGAAACATACACTGCCACCCCGCCCCCCGCCCATCAAATTCGGCACATTGTTCCGCCTTGAATACGCAATTGCTCTGTTTGCTCGGTCGTATAAATTCGCGGCACTCCGCGGATTTTGCATCCGCACTCGAAATGCAAGACACGCATTTTCGCCGGCACACGATTATGAACCTCGATGCTTGTCACCTTATACCACCAGTAGCAGCATATAGATACTGACTCGTAGGGCCGATTAGGGACTAATCCCAGCTGAGAGGACTCAAGGAGGATGCCGTCATTGAACCGATACGCAAAGGGTTGGGTCTCCGGCATTGGAAGCCCCTACAAGGAATAAACTAGTTGGGAAGGTTTAAAACTCATCAAAGGGAATCTATATTTACACAAGAGATTTCCATTGCTTTCTTTAATATTCATTGGCCTGAAAGTCTGCACTTTTTCATTCAAAACTTCGCATTTACACATTTTAACTCATCACACAATGTTTTTACAAAATATCAATATCAATAAATCGCGGCAAAACATGATTCGTATCTATGCCAACAATTTTTTGGCATGCGAATAGAAAAATACTTTCTGTGATGTATTTTTTTATTGCGATAGCATTCAAACCATTTAATTTGGTATCGGGTTTTACTTTTTGTAAACACTGAAAAGGAAATACATCCATATCAAAGTTTATAAGTGAGTAAAAATTCGAGCCATTATGTTAGCTGGCAAAAATATTTTATTCGGCACAAAACGGGGTTTCAATTACACATTTTCCATATTTAGAGATTTTTATATATTTTATATTTGGATTTTTTCGTTCATTTTTTCACAGGACTTTAAATCCCTTTAAGGATCTTAACATTTTGCTGGCCGTTATTTCAAAACATCATGTTAAGGTCTTGCTAACAGCAACAAGACCATGTTATTTACAGCCAAATGTTAGCTATCACCCCGCTGTCACTGTTAACCGTTAGCACAGTTTCCCCATTTCCTTTTATTTGCAGGATGTTAAGGATGGGGTTGCTCTGTACATGTTTGCAACAGGATATTGTAACAGCCGAAGGATGTTAACTTTTGGCAGTTGTGAGGGCTGTGAAAGAAAGTTTAGACATCTAAAATAATGTTTAAAATAATCAATTCAGAAAAAGAATAAATATTGTATACTATATAGTAAACTCAATTATACAATAAGTAACTTTGGTTTTACCCACATTACCCATTTATATAAATTCAAATTAGATTTGTATTTAATTTGCATCGCCACAAGTTACCACTCAATTCCCAATTTCTTAAGCAGATTTTCCCAACAATTTAATTGCATTTAATTTCCATTCAAAGCGAGATCGGGTGATGGATGCTCACCTTTAAACTTGCTCGGCGAATTCGCAATAAATACCTGTTCCAGTGTACATCGATAAACACATGCAATGCAATTCATCATTCACCGGCACACACACACACTCACACACGCGGGGATGATCTGGTGGTGGAGCAGGGGCTTTCGAACGCTTTCGGGGACTGGGATGCGGAATCTTTTGAAAGGACGAGGCCGCCGCCAAAACGTCCCATTAACAGGAGCTCAATGCACAAAAAGTCAGATCCCATGGCTGATGGCTGGAGCCAAAAAGCGAATGTCAACACTATCAATCATCGCTTTGACAGTTTGAGTGCTTGTTTTAGTATTTGTGCTTTTGATTATGTGCCCCACACACACACACACACACACTGGCACAGCGGGGCCCGGCCACCCACACACATGCAGGCGCATCAATTGATACACTTACAACAAATTGTTCGTAGTGGAACACGTGGGCGTTGCCCCGCCCTGCGGACTGGATTGGATCGGATCGGGCACGGGATATATATATGTATGTAGTACGTGGCTATAGGTGGGTTGGGGCAGGACCATTTGATTGATGGAGCCACCGACCTAAGCCATTTTAAATGAACAAATTGAATGTGCGGAAGCACACATGCACACCTACAGCAGCGGTCGCGTGCATAGGACTTTAAATTAAATTTAAATCCATAAGATTTCAAGCTAATGTGGATGGTGCTTCAGGTTTGAATATAAATAAATTAGAATGAGCATACTTTTAATATAATATATTAATGCACCACTAGTGTTCTGCCCTCGATTGTGGGTTTGTGTCTGTGGTTGCCTGCTGGTGATTATAGTAATTTAATTTCTTCAAACAAAACAAATTTGCAGAAAAAAATCGAAACCGAACGAAAGCCAAAAACAAATAAAACGCTAAAACATGGGAAATCGGACCACCAGGTCAACGTGCGGTGAGTGCAAATGGGTTGGGTCTTGCCCGGAACGTGGTTAGTTGGCGCTGCCTCCGGCGATCCTCCTGCTCCATCCGCTGGCGCAGCTCCTCCAGTTCCCGGCGCTTCGCCTCCTGCACCTTCGAGTTCTGGACATTGAAGAGGCGACGCTGCTGCACTCGCGACTCGGCGGACAGGTTGAAGGGTTCGACCTTCACTTTCACCTGCGGAGCGACTGAGGGACGATTCATCGCCTTCAGCGGCTGACGGCTGCTCTGCGGAATAGGCTTGGCCCTGGTCATCAGCTTCCGCTGCAGCTTCAACTGCTCGTCCTGCTCCTTCTGCAGCTGCTCTGCCCGCTGGCGACGCCTCTTCTCCATCTCCAGCGAGTTTCTCAGCACATTGGGGGTCATCGGACAGGTGATGCGGTGCACGGCGGACTTAAGGGCCTGCCGTTCGTGCACCTGCCGGAAGTCCGGCATCGGGCGGCTGTGGAACTCGCGCATCTTGCGCTCCTGCTCGTGGCACTCGCGGATCAGCCGGTCCTTGCGGCTCGAATAGATGTCCTTGAAGCTGTAGGCCTAGGGGTAGAGTGTTGGTATTAAAGAAAGAAAGTTCATACATATTTAACAAAGACCAAAAACCTAAAAAAATGTACTTTTTAGTTTTGATGCAGTTTAGATTTAGTTAAAATTCCAACTCACAAGAAAACATACCTTTGGAGTAGCCTTTTGAGGGGGGAGTATGGGCTTCTCCCGGCCGAGGTTCATATCCTTCATCAATTTTTCGACCAACGCCTGCGAGTGCTGCTGGGCCTGGCTGACAATCAGGCTGCCACGTCGCTGGATCTGCTCCACCTTCTCCCGGTGAACCTGAAGGCTGGACAACTCCTCGACGGCGGTGGTGAAGACCTCATCCCCGGCCGACCACTCGGGAATTCCTGATGCAAAGTCGTCCAAGTGACGCACTCCCAAATCGTCCCAGTCGTACTCCAATTTCGAGGCGGACATGGTAATAATATTCGAACTAATTTCTGGATGTGCTCTCTGCTATCGATGATATGACAGCTAATGTAGAGTGGCCGGAATTTCAGTTACATTCAATTATCAGCCTACTCTGATCCGGAGCTTCAGGTAAAATGTTTCGGCATTAGTGAAAATCTCATTTGAACGTGCCGACATGAATTATGTAAAGTATTCCGACTGACACTTGGTCGGTGCTCCTGAATGGTCTCTGCTGTCTGCAGTTTCCGCCGCAACCGAATGCAGTTTCGCAACGAGGGAGGCGCAGAGGAGGGGGCGTGGCACCCCCTGTCGGTCGATCCTGTCAGCTTCCTGTCCAACTGTCTGTCCCCGTCAGTCGAGGACGTCTATGTGGTGTCAATTTGATTGCAAAGGTAATTCAAATAATCTCATCATACACAATCTAGCTGTGTATCCTGCCCTGCTCCTCCACCACTTCATCCCCATCTCAGTGCGAAATCCAGCAGGACTCTCCCTTCGTTTCGACGACAACTTCAAAGCGAGCTCTGAAAATAAATCAAATTAAATTTTACATTTTTTTTGCCCCGCTGTGTGGGTGAAATTTAATTTTCAGCAACTGATTTCGTCGGATTTCATTAAAAAGGCTCTCTATAATTAAATTGATTAAGAGATGGAATATAAAAGTGCGAAATGTGTATGTACATTAATCCTGCCCAGCTAATGATTGCGAAATGCCGGCTTTGGCAGCTGACCAAAAGGTTTGAATACAGAGTTAATTGATTTTCCGACTGGTATTCAGTTTAAAGGTGGAAACCATATTGAAAACAAACAAATAAATGTTTTTAAATTACTATAATTGTAAATCTAATGAACACTTTCCTCCAAAAAGGTTTGTGCTCCTTATATATTTACTTACTTATTTTCTGATACATGACGCCTTAGTATTTATTTCTACAACTTCTTTGCACGCAACGTAAGCAATGAGTAATTAGTGAAAAGTGTCGCAACTAATGACCCCATCAAGAGCAATTTCCCTTATCAATACGCTCTTCACACTCGCCGAGCGAAAGCTGTAAAAGTTCGCTAATCCGGAATACTTTTTTGATTAACCAAGCAACAACAAGTTGCCCCGAAGTTTGTGGCCAGACATGTGCCATAATAATCCACTCGAGCCGAGTCCTGTCCTGATTAGAACTATGTAAATACACATGTTCCTTGGATCTGCGAGGGTCCAACTCGCACATGAGCTGGTGGTAACTTTTTAAAAGCCCGCCAGATAGCCGACAGTGCTTACAAAATAAAAGTTCGGCCCTATATCTCTGATAGACATTAGTAAGGCGAAAAGTTAACAAAGGGGCGAGCTGGCGAGTAGGAGTGCTGGGGAAAACTTACCGACTGATAAACGTGCCTCACAAACAGAGAGCAAAAGTTATCCCGAAACTTGCCGCAAAACAAAAACTCGTTCTTGCTATCTCTGCGATAATTGCTCCTTTAACTAGACGATTTTTTTCTGCCCCCTCCTCTATTTTTTTTTTGGTTCGGCAAACCCACTTCTGATTAGTTTGCAACCGGAGTCAGGGATCTGGGCTCTGGATCCTTGTGTATTATCTTTCTGTTTGCAATTAGTGGCTCATTTAAAAGAGATTTGCAGCAGCGACTCCTGCTGATTGGATTGGATTGGGTCAAAGGTCTCTGCTATCCCTTCTACCCCGAAATGATTGAAATTCGAGCCGGAGGGCGGAATGCGCTGAAATGGGGGGGGAACAATGCCGCCAGTCCATCCATGCGAACAGGTTCGTTCGCCGTGCCAAACATTAAACGCTACGACTTTCCTGTCCCACATTCTTCTCGAATCATTTAACCCGAGCGCCATTTTCATAAAACGAAATTATTAAAATTGTTTATTCGGGTCTGTCGTGTGTGGCCATGTGTGTCGCTGTTTTATCCCGGGATGTGCACATTCTGGCGCACAAAAACATTATCATTGAGCAGTTAACCATACAGAAAAGCAACTTTAAATTAAATGCAAGAGTGCCCCTCCAAATTGAAACAGCAAATGGTTGTTGAATGAATTACTATCCTTTGTACTTATCACAAAGGTAATGGCTTTGCATTTCATATTCGAAAAAACCTTTAAGCGCCATATCTTTGATTGCCGTTTTTCACTTCTGCTTGGCGAATTATTAAACGCTGCGGTCGATGCATTTTTCACATTATTTAGGCCACAAATCTTTTTCGAGCATTTTTAAATAGAGCCGTTTTCTGCTGTGACGTTTTACATGTCGCACAAAATGAATTGCGAATTTATTTATCGATATGTTTACGCCTGGCGCGACCAATCCACCAAAATCAAAAACAAACGCAATCCAATTGCGGACTTGCAGCTCCGAAATGAAATGTGTCAGGCCATCAATTAATGAATATATGCGACAGCGGCCGTATTGTCAATCATAATTATTGATTGTCCATTACGAGCTTAATTTATGCACGCCAGACGGAAAGTGTTCGTGCTGAAAGGCGGTAAAGAATCGATTAAAATGTTCGTTGGGGACATCAATTCGGCTAAAAGTGGGAATATTCCGATGGCACTCCCGCACATTCCAATTCCAATTCCAATTCCGATTCGTGAGGTGTTGACATTAGAGTAGGAGTATCTATTTCTGATATTTACGACATCGCTCTACCCGGGATTATTTATGGCCGTTAATGCACGGGGCGTTGGTCAGCGAAATGTAAATTTAATTTGTTAGCCGTGTCAACTGTCCGAACGCCCGACTTACGGCGCTCAAAGCCAAGGGCCAAACAATGCGCGCTTTCTTATCGCATATCAGCAGCAGCGGCCAGAAGTTCCCTCCTCCTCCGACTCTTGCGACTCCTGCCTCATGTCCTGCCACACGTCCTGGCCCACACAGCACATCCTTGCCCCGAAGTCCAGCCCGAGCCGAAGCTGAAACTGAAACTGAAGCTGAAGCCTTGCTTGACGCAACAGCAGACCAATAAACAAAAGCATTAAACCCATAAAACAGGGAACATGGCACTCTCGAGAATTAACACTACATTATTCACAATGCAATTTCGAAACAAACGAAATGGCGATTGTGGAAAGGGTTCGAATGGGGAGTACCAGGTGATTATTGGGTTTGGTATTTAATGGGTATTATAAATGGGTAGAATAAATAATATTTTATACTGTATTCCCTTTAAAACATTTTAAGATATCAGTAGAATATAAATGAATATGAAAATAAGAGATCAAAGTGGATATTGATTTGATACAAATGGATAATTGTTTTTAAGGACCAATCAAAATTATTTAAAAATATTTATAAGCATAAAAATCATGTTGAGATGGTTCCTATAGAGTAAACCTTTTTATACATAGATTCTTGCTCACTTAAAATCCCGAGATACCCCTCAGACACCCTGGATAAGTTTTATAAAAAATGTTTCAACTCGAAACGGCAACGAATGCGAATGCATATGGATGTGGTGGAGTGAATGGGAGAAGTGGGTTATAAAAAGTGGGTGGCTGGGTCGTTTTTGAGTGTTCATATGTCTGTCTTTCTGGGCGGAAGGGGGAGGTGCTGGTGACCCAGATGGATGCCATTGTGGCTGCGGCATTTGCCTCCGGGCGGTCTTCGCGCTCCGTAGGTGTTTCCCGGTGTTCTCGGTGGGCCAGGATCGCAACTGGGATTGGTCTGCACCTTTGGCCGCTCCCGCACCCGCTCCTCTTTCATTTGCTAAAAAAATGTGAAAAATTAAAAATATTGTACGCGTGCACACACAACAATGTGCGAGCGTGTCTATATATTCCCGGGTGCTCCTCCGTTTTCCCGTGATACTTGGCCGTGTTCCTTTTATGCATATTTCCCACAACACATTTTGGAGTCGAGGCTTTCGCTTTTAAATCATCCAAAGGGGGCTACTCCTGCCACATATATTTATACAGATATATATATATATATATGTATAGTTAGTTCGCGGCTGAAGTCGGGCTTATCCCATCAGCAGCATCAGAGGTGCCCCTTTCCCATTTTCCATTTTCCTCTCCCCCTCCCCTTGTTGATTTATGTTCGGAGTTTGCGTTCATTTATCATTACAGTTGAGAGCATGGCCGCTTTGTTCCTTCCTTTTTTATTAATGCACAATATGCACAGTCGCCGTGAAAGAATAATACTTTTAATAAAAGTTCTTGTTTTTTTTTTTTTTGTTGTTTTCCAGGTGCAAAATGTGGTGCTTATCGCGGCCATGCTTTTACCATTTACATTTTAAACAACTCCAATCAATGGGTTGCAAGCGGAGCAAAACAATTGTTTTTTCTGGTTACCACATTCATGGCAACAGATAAAACCAATAAAAAGGGGCAGAAAAACAAAAGGAATAAATAAAACGTTACCCAATATACGGCTTAATTTAAGCCAATGAAAAACACTTTTCCAAACTAAATTCAGCCGACCTTCGATAACTAGCTTATGGGAGAAATACAGATATTAAATACTTGTTAATATAATTAGTTTGCCCACAAGCCGCACTTCAATTTTAAATTTAATTTTAGCTAAGCCAGTGAGGCCAACATAAAACAAAACAAACACACAAAAATATTGTTTAATCTCTATAAAAAGTATTTGCAAAAAATGTCCAACTAGCGAAACGAAATAGTTGGCCGACCAAATCTGCTTTAAAAATCCTTTTGTTGGAAAACAGAACGAAAACATTTTCATTCCCCGTTTGCAACCGCGCTTAATTAAAGTCCTTTGCCAGCAGGAATTTTTAATTCCATAAAAACAAATACGAACCAAAGGAGCAGTGTTCACCGGAGACAATCGTAAAAGTACAGTGGGCCCTGCACAAACAGCCCGGCGAGGAGCATCATCATCAGCAGTCAGCAGTCAGTTGTGTTTGCGCAGCCGTGGGTAAAAAATTCAAAAACATAAACGGAAATTACCACAAAATAGAAACCGCAACCGAAGCCGAACCGAACCACCCAGGAACCACTTTTGGTGGCCCCACCATCACCACACATCTCCCTTTGGGATGCAGTGTCCTGGTCCTCGTCCTGGATGTTGTTGTTCCGCCGCAATCTAGCAGGACAATCTTTTGATTAACATTCTTGG